TACTGCTGATGTCTGACTCATGCACAATCTCTCACCAGAAGCTCTTGCTGCTTGTCAGTGGAGGAGTGACTGGCCACTCTGTAGAGGTCCACCAGATCTCCCAGCATGCCATCACCCAACACCGGCAGGTGGGTGGCGATGGCTGCCAGAGCGTGGCACATGAGAACGCGAGAGGAGTCACAGGATAAGTGGAGCTGGCCGAGCAGGAACTCCACAGCTGATTGGCTGAGATGGGGTCGACTTTTCAGCAGTTTAACCAATGAGGTGAGCGCCGTCTAGTGGAAACAGAAGGTATTACTAAAGACGAGGGTCGGTTGATGGTTAACGTCATCCTGTAATCAAACATCAGTACACACTGTGGATGGCAGTGGGGTTAGATGTTTTAGGTAAGGTATGCTATTATTATAGTTGTCAGTGTTATATAAAGTTTTATCAAAAAATGCTCCAAAATAATGTTTATAATATTTTATAATGTATATAAACATTATAACAATTATAATAATGCTGTATTAATCATTACTTTGGTATCAAATAACACAAACGTAAACCGGGTTTGGGATATTTTTGTGTCTCAAAAGTCAAAACACAGCCTCCCAAATGGCTCACACTAGACAAAGTTTTACATTTTCATGTTAATATTTAATTATAAAGAACATTTGGCACGACACTTTCCCCTGACTTTACCATCTAAGGCTGAGTATAATTTTAAATCTGGTACTACGTTTAATTAGAAACTTTAATTTAACAGAAGAGTTAAATGTCAAATGTTTTCTAAACACAAGCAACTTTGTTTAAATACTATACAATCTAAAAGTGCTTATTCTTTCAAAGAATAAGCCAACAGGATTATGAATCTGATCAGGCATTTAATGCCAATTTACAGACCTTTACAGACAGCTTTCTATACGTTATGAACTCATTTAGGTTGGTACCAAAAAAAGTATTGTATATGTCTTGTGGCTATAATGTTGTCTTACTTTAAGTGTGGCCTGTGCACTGGGGCTGCTGTCCTGACTGCAAAGCATCAGAAGGGACTCAACTCCCAAAACGGTGTCTTGCTCCAACTGTACTATATCTGAGGAGGAGAAACACACACAGCAACTCTTAGCCTTGGCATACCGGAGCAAACATCAGCGGGGTGAATGTGAGATCAATGAACTGATGAGCAACTGGCATTAAAAGTGTCGCTAACCCAGGCCATCACTTGCTGTAACTAACCTTTTTCTGGACAGGAAATGGCAATGTTGGAAAGCACTATGACCCCGTGAGCAGCCACTGCCAGGTTGCTGTGGTAACAGCATTCTTGTGCCAGTTTAACCAGGTCAGTGAGGCGGGGGGGAACCGAAGAGCCACCTGACAAGAATGTTTGAGAGGAATACAGATCAGTCCAGAGTCTTCTTCACTACACAAGTTACAGCAATGGAAACCTGCGATTTAAAGGCTGGTGACGAACAAATTCTTAAATAAAATAAAACGTTTCACACAATGGTGGAGAAAGATTTGAAAGTGAACACAACCTGTCATATTATTAAAGTACTGCTTGATTGCAATTGTTCCAGAGAGCGTGGAGAGGACAGCCAACATCCCCAGCTTCAAACTGTTGTATGGGCTGGTCAAAGCGCACTCACACAGCGTCTGCAGAGACAAATCCCCTTTAGATTACCTACAGGTTTTAAACCAGCATGAACACAATCGTACAGTGAATCAGCATCTGAAACTCTACCTGAGTGTTCTCTCTGATCCAAAGGTGAGGAGCCTTTTTAGCCAGGAGCTTTAAGTCACTAATTGCGAGTCTCTTCACAGCTTTTCTTGGGTCATCTTTTAGGTACTGAAGGAGGAGCTGTAACTGTACAGATAGAGAAACAAATAGAAAGGTACAAGAAGGCAAATCTTAATAATAGCAACACAGCTACGTCCTTAACAGCCGAATGTCAAAGAAAAACATTTCTAGGTCTCCTATCAAGATAAAAATAAATAACTAACTACAGTAGGTATTTACACTGCTTCCCACATACGGATACAAAGAAGTAGTCAGTCTCTGGCCTCTCATAAATCTGCAGCTCTGTGTTCATGTTGCACTGAGCATGAAATTACTCACTCTGCTCTGACTGGACAGTTTTCTGACGTAGCTACACAACAGGAAATTGTTAATTTCCTGTTGCACAGTTTGTTTCCAGAGTACAGAATAATGATAACGATAGTAAATAACTGTGCAGTTTTAAAACGAGTAGAGTAACAAACCAATAACAATGAGGTGCAGCTCTGTTATAGTACCTACCTGCTTTGGGATATCGATGAGGGAGGAGGCAGCCAGCTGGGTGAAGGTGTGCAGGCTGACGATGACCATGGGGGTGGAGGGGTAAGAGTTGACCAGGTGCTGTAGAAGCTCTCGGCTACTGGAGGCCAAGCTGGCTTCATGATGCATGTGCTGCAGCATCGGGATCAACTTCAGCTTCAGCTCCACTGGAGTGTCTAAACCTTCAGATATACAGTACGTTGAAGAGGAATGCAAACTCAAAGTGAAGATACCAGCACAGCTTTGCCTGGACATTGACGAGCAGAGAGATGTAAATAAAATAATTATTATTGCTTGTTTAATTTGGATTATCAAATGGACTGTAAAATATTTTACAACAATGGTTACATGGACTACATTTTAGTGCTTTAATATGTTGTCTCAACTATGATCTCTATGGATGCATTCACTTTTAATCAGCTGTTTTAGGATTTGATTTGTTTTATTTACATTTTGTTTAGTTGCCAAATATTCAAAGCTGGAAAAAATGTACACAGGAAAGTGATCTGTGATCTTTTTTAGTACAGAAGATAGAAGATTTTACCTTGAATCATCTCACTGACTTTGTTACAAATCCCAGCTGCAAAGTCTCTGAAAATCAGAAAACACATAAATATACCAGATTTATGTTATACAATATATATATAAGCAGTACAACAGCAGTTGTCCTTACTTTGACTGTGCAGAGAAGCTTGCTGCAGCAAATATAGCGGCCTCCACTTCTACATTGTCATGAGAGTCCAGACTTTGGCGAATACTATGGTGAGCGTTCTTCCTCTCTGGGATGATGGAGGCCAAACTACCAAGCATCCTGAACAGAAGGAACAACAGGGACATAGTTTAACTTTAAGCATCAGATAGTTGGAGAGAGTTGAAAGCTATCAAGCAATTATCACTCTGTACAACCTTGACCTATGTTCATCTCTCCGGCCAAACAATGTAAAGCTTCAGTGCATTTCACATCATTACCTCAGAGTGATGGCTCTGGCCACAGGGTCATTGCTGTGGATGACTGAAAACACCCTTTTGACAAATTCGTCCACATTGAGGATCTTTTCCAGATGTTTCTCACTCTGTTGCGTTACTTTCAGCACACACAGGCGCAGAAAGTTGTTCCTGAAATCAGAGAGATGAGTTTTTAGAAATAAACATATCTGTGCCAGAGTGAAACCAGTTTCTGTAATGATTATTTACTGTCAATGAACTCAACTGTCACTCTATAAAATGCTTAAAAAAGGGCTTAATGCAAGTTACCAGAGCACAAAGTGTCTTCAAATTGCTATAGCAAAAAAACAAAACACACAAGTTTTCCAGTAATAATTACATGAAATTCCCAAAAGCAGGCAGCTACAGCCGACTTTAGGTATGTTTACTTTAAATGCACTCAGTTTATTCGGTACACATAGGTCAAAGTGATCGAACACACCAGCCTGAAATAAATCCTCCTTTCATGAAGGTTATAATGTCCAGGTTTTGTTGAGATTGTTTTCGGGAAGCACTGATTAAACTTTATGATCCTTTTGGAGGTTTTAGTTAGTGGCACTGTTGAATTATATTGTATATCATTGAGAGGTGTGTCTAATGAGGTTGTAGTTATCTTCTACAGACTGCTTTTACTTTTGGCTCGTTGTAAATAATAACACACTGACACCTTTATGTGTGACAGGTGTCAGGTATTATTGAACATCCAAAGTGGACACAAGAAATATTCTACCAATGCAGCTCAACCATCGTTTTAATCCCAGATTAAAGCCTCCATACCCAAGTCTGAAGATATCAGCTAGTTTCAGAAAAGCAGAGTTGATGAGGATGGGGAAAGGATACTTCTGGAAGAGTTTGGGGAAGAGCACCACAGCCTCGCACTGCTCTCCCAGCTTCCCCGACCGCAGCCCTGCAAGAAAAACAGCTTCAATGGTCACAACAAAGCGGGGACATCTTAAATATAGTGAGGGACATTTAGCAACAACACATGGAGACGTCCCAGCACACAGGAACCGATGAGACACACGCTAAACAGGTAGCAGGATAGCTAACGCACCTTTGTCCAGCTCCATAAGAGCGGAATTAGCGTCGAGTTCTTGTTCGCCATAACAAGCTTCAGACAAGAATGAACGAGCAGTAGAAAGAGACATCACTGTTTAGTTTATACGGGACAGAAAAAACCACAAATCTGACAACACCCGTGAACTGTTAGCATTTCATTGTGCAGGCGGCGACTACGACACACTCAGACCGGAAAGGAGAGCAGTGGTGCTTCCGGTCTGTGGTTTTGGTTTTCACAATAAAGCGCTGTTTTACGTGGTTCCTTTAACGAAGTGCTGTACAATTTCCGTTTTATGCTAGTTTATCGCTCTCCTCCATCACATTACAGAAGGAAATATTTTTCCTCCACTGCATTTGTTTCATAGCAAGTTATTAGTTACTATATATATATATATATTTATGTTTATAAAATGTGATGCATTGTTATAGATTCAGCTATCACAACAGTGAAACTTAAGTAAAGGCTCTGAATACTTTCTCCACCACTAAACCCATCTTCGGGAACATCCAAAACGGGGATTACATAAGATTATCCAGTTATTAGGACGATCCGATGAGGGTCATTTATTTTGAAAGGACGGATAAATCGGTAGCTGTTGTGGCGCAAAGAAAACGGAAGCGGAAGTGATGCCGGTGCGGAAGTGGCTGTCTCAACCAATGGTAGCGCGTAACGTCAGTTTAGCGGGGGATTCAGTCCTGTGCTGTTCGCGGGAAAGACAAGCATCAGCACCACGGGAAAAACATCACCGGCTAACGATCCGACAAACCTCTCAGCGCTATTAAAACACAACAACATATTTCAGATCGTCTTCTACCGGAGCGTAGGGATGCTTTTCCGTTCAATTGTTGACAGAGGAGTGGGCAGACGACGGCAGAATGGTGAGATAATCAATGTATTGGGGGAGTATCGGAGGGCTGTATCGATCACCGGGTGTGCCCTGCGGTGTGTTGTGCTATCTACAGTGCTAACCGACGACTAACTAACCGACTAACTAACCAATAAGCGTCCTGTCGTATGTTCGGAGTTGTAGCTTTGACCTCTGGGCTACCGTTTAACGGTTGGATCCGTGGTCGCGAGCCATTGCTGTTACCATGGCAGTGGAATTTGAACGTTCTAAATGAGCTCAGATGTACGTTAACGGTTTTTAACGTAACGTAGCGTGTTCACGTCCGTTTTAAGGCTAGGTGATCGGAAATCAATATCACCGTGTTATTAAGATTATTTTCTATTCCAGGCAAAGAAATTAAACCGATTGTTCAAAGCAATGACCTGTAAACTCTTAAAATGAGAAAAACAAACTCATTTTGTTGGTTATAAGTGATCAATAGGGTAAAACCACTCCCATTATTGTAATAATAAACTGATTCACTAAATTTATTTTGAACAAGGGGACACAGTCATTTCAAGAAGTCTCGGCTTGTTGTGCACTAAAAAAAGTTAAATCTGATATATGGAAATAGTAAAGGTCACAAAATAAAGAGGTACAGTGATATCAGTATGTTTCAGTGCCATATAAAGGCATGAAGCACATTTTCATTATTATCGTGATAATATCGTGTATCGCAATTATTTTGGCCAAAATAATCGTGACATGAAATTGTCTAATTTCTGCTAATCAATAATATTTGGGTATAGGTATGTGCACACATACAAGGAATTTGACTCCGGTTTTACCTTGCTCTCAATGTACGAACACAGACTATAACAGCATAGGTACACTAATATTATGTACAGTTATACATAAACAAACCCAAAAAAATACAACGTGTACACAGATATATATATGTGGAGGTTTCTTTATGTATATGAGGTAGGTGGATATGACAGTATACACAGTATGCACAACCCAGGTAGATGTGTTAGTGATAATATTTATGTTTTATGTTATTATTATTATTATTTTATGTTATGAAACTGAATTTCAACAATGGAACAATAAATAGTGACAGGATAACAATATATGACTTTAACGTTACCATAGGATGGTGCAGGAAGTTGCTAGAGAATTAAACTAAATTCCAGCCTTTCATCAATGATTTTAATTAGTAGCAAAATAGCAAAAACTAACAAAAGTATTAGTATCTCAGGATGGTTGAAGTACTGTATCACACTAAATGTCCTGTCCTCTCTGATCTTCCCAGCCCTCCCTGCAGACCCCTGGCCCTCGTACCCTCTGAGCTCTCTGCTGGACGGCTACCAGTGTGTCCGACACGATGAACACATCTCCTACGGAAACCTGGGTGACTCTGTTCCACCGTTTGGATTGGCTTTCTCCTCAGGTAACTCACCTGTACAGTATATGCCATATTATCATCAGATGATACCTAACAGAGCGAGGAGCTGTTGCCCTTTATCCGTCTAACCGGTGTGTCCTTTCTTCAGCCGGCCACCTGCGGAATCTCCTCGCAGCAGCTAATGAAGAAGGCATCGTAAGGATCTACAACACAGAGAGCCGCGGGAAGCCGCTTCTTAAAGGTATGTGTAGAGGCTCCTGTTTACCTCTATAGTTCTGTCCATCATCAGGGAATATCAGAGGCTAATGATGTGTGTGTGTGTGTTTGCAGAGTGGCTGGCTCATGAGAATGCTGTCTTTGACATAGCCTGGGTACCGGAGGAGCCTCAGTTAGTAAGTAGAGTACAATTCAAATTCATTCCAGATGATTTACTATGAAACATGATGTGAATTCAGTAGCATCTTTCAAACACTTTATTTATTGTCTTGATTTGTATGTTTTTAACATAAAAACATCTAATATCTGGTCCATACACAGATATTTCTGACTAATTCATTTATGTTGTCTGGCTCCTTGTATGCCCTCATTATCTACCCTTGTTCATATTGCTACATGTTAAGTCCTATTTCATACAAATTAACCCTTGCTTAAATTAGTTTTTATTATTATTCATCCTTAGGTGACTGCTGCTGGTGATCAGATGGCCAGACTGTGGGATGTGAAGTCAGGGGAGCTGTTAGGCAGCTTTAAGGGTCACCTCTGCAGCCTCAAGTCTGTTGCATTCGCACCACAGGAGAAAGGTATGTTATATACTGACCACATACTATAACGCTGGGGGATGTTTTGTTCCCTGTTTTTTTTTAGTATAGCCATCATAAGCATTAATGTTAAGTAGGTCCATGCATGACATGAGCACCTTTTAAATGGAATATCTTTTGAATGAATGCTTTGTTTCTGTTAAACAGCTGTCTTCTGTACTGGTGGCAGAGATGGAAATATTATGGTCTGGGACACCAGGTGCAGCAAAAAAGGTATTAATTGGAAATTCCAGTACCAAAGTACCAAGTTTTGTTTTTATTTTGCGTAATATTTAGTGCTTTGTCAGCCCCAATCTTTATTTCTAAAATGTTAGACCTTAAGGGACAAATGTAGAAGGATGAGTCAGGGTATGTTGTATTTGTGCAGAGTGTGTGATTATATTCATGCGTTCCTTTCAGATGGTTTCTACAGACAGGTGAAACAGATCAGTGGCGCTCACAACAAAGCAGAGACAAACGCCCCCACCAAAACAAAGAAGCGGCGGAGCGGCACACGTGGCATGGCTCCCAGTGTGGTGAGTTTTATTTCTCCAACAGCTGACCCTCTTTAATGAAATAAAGAGTCAAAGGAAGGCTGATCTTTGAGTGCTTGTCTCTTTTGCAGGATACCCAGCAGAGTGTGACGGTGGTTTTGTTTCGGGATCAGCACACGCTCATTTCTTCTGGGGCTGTCGATGGGTAAGAAACCACTGTTACTTTTCTTCTAACAAGCAACAAGCCAGAATTAAATGACTCTCAAAGACAACAGGCTTGTGTGGTCATATTCATGTTTCCGTTTAATTTGTCTTCACCAGAGTAGTCAAGATGTGGGATCTGAGGAAGAACTACACTGCACACCGCAACGATCCTGTTCCCCTGCAGACGTACCCATACCCGGGTTCTTGCATGCGCATGCGACTGGGTTAGTTTAGTACAGAACACTGTGCATCATATTTACCTCAAAATATACAAATGACTAGAATAAGCTGACTGTTGTTTTGCATGTGTTGCAGGCTACTCTGGACTTGTTCTAGACTCCACGAGATCCAACGTCATCTGTAACTGCACTGATGATAATATCTACATGTTCAATGTCAGTGGAATAAAAACGAATCCAGGTAAACGAGGATATATCTGACTACACAAGTTCATCACCAATTCGTTGCCATTGCACATCACTAGATGGGGCTGCAAACTAATGTCCTTTGCTGTCATGTCATTTCCAACTGTCATGGGGAGAGTAAAGCAAGAGGGCACTGTTTGATAGAGGAAATGTAGAGATGCAGGGAGTGTGTGTGTGTGTGTGTGTGTGTGTGTGTGTGTGTGTGTGTGTGTGTGTGTGTGTGTGTGTGTGTGTGTGTGTGTGTGTGTGTGTGTGTGTGTACGAGCATATTCTAATATCAGGGCTTTAAATGTGGGCAGTCCTGAGGGACGTCGACCCCTAATCAGCACCGCATCATACTCACACATTGCAAACCAGGTAGCCATTTTGAAAGGCTGGGACTGGGGTATTGACTAGACCACTAAATGCACATGAAGTAAAGGACAGTTTGCATCTAATAAAGGCTCCTGTCATTTGTTTGTATTACTCTAATTTAGGCTCAATTGCTTTCTGAATTGAAGCTTTATTTAGTGATTCTAATATTGCTGTTTATTGTCCTCCTCAGTGGCAGTTTTCAGTGGCCACCAGAACTCCTCGTTTTATATAAAGTCCACTATTAGCCCAGATGACCAGTTCTTAGCCAGTGGCTCAAGTGACCATCACACATACATCTGGAAGGTATGGTCTCTATTTTGATTTGCCATTATAAAACAGAAAATTGCCTCCTGTTTATGATGGTGTGGTTCACTATTTTTAAATCTAATTTTACATTTCAGATCTCTGATCCTAAACATCCTGCTATGATGCTCCAAGGCCACAGCGAGGAAGTGACATCTGTTGCATGGTGCCCAACAGATTTTACTAAGGTGTGCAAACAAGCTTTCATGTATCTTTGTGTAGTTTGTTCAATTACTCTGCATACTCTAATCACAGATATGATCATCTCCATCCTGTTTCCTTTTTACAAAACCTGATTGATTCAGAGGTTTTTGTGCTTCCTTGCCGTGAAGCTGAGCTGTTTTGATAGGCTAGGAAGATGGATTTAGGCTCCATATAATCCCCACCGGTCTCTTGGCAGATTGCTTCCTGTTCCGATGACCACACTGTACGCATCTGGAGGCTTCGCCGGGAAATGGATGGAGCCCAGTCTTCAGTGGGACAGGCCAACCTTGTAGGCTGGGCACGTCCCAAGTCTTCCTCAAGTAAGCATTAGAACTACCATTAAATGCCTTGTAATAATACAGTTTATACAATATATTGTTAATAGTGTTCTATTCTTCATATTGTTGCCTTACCTTTTGAAGTGCTTTGGCAAAATGACTGCTATCCTGCCCTCAAATCCAAAATGTGTCATTCCAAGTATTTATGCGTCACATCTGAACTAACAAGGACTTATTGCTTTTGTTAAGGGCCTTCGATCAGACCTGAAACAACCCCTTCCAAGACCAAGAAGACAGAGAGTCTCGGTGGCCCGGCATCACCCCAGCTTGCCTCCTGTGCTCCCAGTGGAGCCGCCCTGCCTCTCTCATCCAGCACCACCTCACCTGTCCCTTCTCAAGACGCTAAGGCTGCTGTTGTTCACCAGAGAACACCGTCTTCTATCAAACAGTGGTTATCCCCGAGCCATGGATCTCCTGGTCAGAGCAGCCTTCCGCTCCGTTGGGTGCTTAACCTGTGTCCCCAGAGCCCGGCGAGCAGCACCTCTCCCACAGAACGACGGGCCAAGCGCAGGCTGGAGACTGGCGACGGTCCATCTGCAGGCTGTGAGGGAGCAAAACAGTGTGACTGTGTTTCCGAACTCTACCCCGCAGCCAAGAAAAGCCGGGCACTGTCTGGAATCTGCTGCCCCGGTGAAGAGAGCCGGGTACAAACAGACTGTCACACGGAGGACAAACAAGCCTCATCGAGACAGACTGGCAAGGAGAATTGCTCTCCCAGAGCAGCTGACTGGTTGTCAGTGCTGGGCCAAAAGATGAGGAAAGATCAAGGAAGCGTCAGTTCTCCCAGAAGCCCCACTTCCTCTAAGAAACAAGAAGGCAAGACACCAGCTTCACCGGTAAGCACAAAAATCCCTGTTTCAGAAGTTAACGTTAACCTGAAGACTGAAATAATAATAAGGAGATTCTGAAAGCAATAGTTATAATAGGGAAATAGACTTATTTGCTTTCTTGCAGAGGGTTATATCAATACCACTCTCATATCTGTAAGCTAAATATGAAGCTACAGCTAGCAGCTGAAAGCCAGATGGTTATAGTGGATGCCACTTAGCCACCACCCCTGGGGGGGGGGGGGGGGGGGGTATTTTTTACCCCCTCTCCCCATGTTTCCTATCTGCCTATATACTGCTCACTAACTATCTTTAAAAAGGCTAGCAGTCAGTTTCCCCAAAAATGTGGAACTATTTCTTTAAGGCAGCGTGAACCACTGCACTTATTTGAGACTAGTGTAGATCATGTAGAACTAATTTAGAGACAGAAACATATTTTTCATTTCTTTTAGCTGTGCACCATTAACGCCTTCTGTCACTTTAACTTACTAGGAATGTTGTCGATCTAGAAATTCAAGCCTACTCTTGAAGTCTCTGGAGAAGAATTACTGCATTAATACACAGACAGGCAACTCTTTATTAGTGCTGATATTGAATGTATGGAAATGTATTGTAGTTACTGAGGTGAATATAGCAGTTGACCTTTTTGTCTTTTTGTGTTTCAGACCATCCGCTCTCCACAAACCATGAAGAAAATCTCCTCGTATTTCACAAGAAGGCCTTTGGAGTGACCAGTTTTGCCCGTCAGATTCTCTGTGCTTCTGTTTAAAATGCTTTTGTTGTTTTTTATTTTGAGTATTTTTTAACCTGAACCCACAGACAATAAGCCTCTAAGAACGCTGATCTATGTCCAGACGGCAGGGGTACACAAACCTGGGCTGCATAGAGATCAGCAAAACCGTCATTCAGAGTATTTGATGCTGCGGTTTTCACTTCCCGAGAGGCTGCTTTATTTTAATTGGGTCATGGGTTTTGCTGTTGCCTCCTACACAGTTTTCTGGTGCTGTGCAGAATCTCTGGTTTAAAACACTCAAGTTGCATGTTCCTGAGTAAATCTTTCATTTTACTCAAACCTGAGAACTCTTAGAGATGCATTAGTGTTTAATACAAAAACCCACTTTTTTAATAAAGTTGTTCAGGAGGTCAACCAGGTATTAAAGTGCAGAGAGAAATAATTGTCTGCAGGTGTGGACATTTTAAATTCTGCACAAAAAAAAACATTTATGTGATTCACATCTTTGTCGTTTTATGAACTTCACTATGATTAATCTCTTTGTGGGCTTTTTCCATATAAACCTTTTGTCTTTCTGTGCTACACATACGAAGTTCTGCTAAATGTAATTTTTCTTGAGCAAATGCTTAAGTTGTTTATATGTACAATATAACCAGTGATTGTTGCTTGGTTCCTTTTTGTATTTAATTGACACAAATTTTCTGTGATCAGATTTTATTAAATTGAAAATAGTTGTCAGAGTGTGTGACGGTGTGATAAAGAATGCAAGAGACCGTAAAATCACGACTTTAATGTGACTTTAGACATGACATTTTTACTACAGTGGTTACAAAGTTTGTCACCTTGTGCATCTTTTTTTTTTCTGTTTCATTTGAATACTTGTAGGAATATGGAGGGTTAAAATTATTTAGTAAAGAAAAGGAAAATACTAGAAAAATCCTGCAAATAATCCCGTTAAGCTTCTCGAAACTCCTCCGATTTGTCCCCTCGGTGGGGTCCTGAACCCCTGATTGGAAACTACTAATGTTCTGTAACCTATATTCTTCACAACTTATATATATTTAGTATTTTCCAGTGTCCCACAATTTGTTTTTACTTTTAATGTCCTCATTATCTGTCTTATATTAAACTGAAGAGCAATTACTTTTCCTGATAAGATATACAAATACACAGAATAAATAGAATATATATATATATATATCCATTTTGGGGTCTTATTTTATCTGAATTAGAGTCAATGTTTTGGGAGTAACTACTACACACTGCCACTCCTCATTCAACCGCACAACGTCACGTATTTGTTTTCACATGTCACATGGTCAGGGCCCCGGCGTTCCGTGCGACGCGATTGGCCGAAAAAAGTTTCCAGTTATTTTAATTCCCGGCTTGTGATTGGCCGCTGGCGGCGTCACTCGATGACGTGCCGCTGTCAGGCTCCGCAGTCCAGTGGGCAGACGACGACCGAGCCGCTGCACAGGGAGTGTTTTTATGGCTGCTCAGCGCGACATCGAGTAATTTGTTGTGTTGAAGAACACGCGGTGGTTTCTGTTTGTTCTTCCCGAGAGGCCGTGAACATTAAACCGCCGCCGCTCGGAGAAAAGCGACCGGATTGTGGACTGTGCTAACTTTTTAAGAGCTAAACGAGACTCCGCCGTCGAGCGAGGTTGAACTTCACCGACCAGTTCGTCTGAAAACAACCTCAGCGGAAGTCTAACGGGGATTAAAAAAGCAGCGCTCGGAGACTTGGACTTGCTATTTACACGAAGAACTACATGAATTTAACGGGGGAACTTACCGCTGGCAACTTTTCTCCCTCCGCAGCGGCGCTAACCGCGGACGTTAACGCCAGCTAACTTTAGCTAGCTAGCTAGGCACGTTAGCTGTGCAGCCTAGCAGCGCAGTAGCTCGCCGCTGTCAGGACTTCACTACTAACTTTTTATTATTTTTTTACATCCGTACGTTTTGCAACTGGTTGACTATTCTCAAACACGACGAAGCAGTAAAAAAAAAAAAAAAAAAAAAAAACACACCCTAAATTTAAGATTTTTTAATTTTTTTTTATGTCGGTAACTCCGGGCTACACTGCGTGCAATGTCATGAGTTGTGTTTTGTCTTTTTGCTCCGTGTTTTGAAGAGTGCTCCCGTGTTTTCAGAAAACAAGCTCCCTCAGTGATGCAGTCTTTGGACACAGTCTAACCCCAATACCGAGCGACCATGTTGGATCATACAGAATAACATAAGACTTGGGCAGGAGACGAGCTTTCAAGTCGTGCGGTTGTGCTCCGTGGTGTTGTGTTTTTTTTCCCCCTGTGTGTGTGTGTGTGTGTGTGTGTGTGCTGATGCGAACAGAAGAGGAAACCTTTCTTTTGACCTGAGGGATACAATAGCTCGTCTGAAGTCTTCGTCAGTTTATGCATCAAAATGTCGGCCATCTCCGCATCCGAGAAAGTGGACGGGTTTACGAGAAAGTCCATGAGGAAGGCCCAGAAACAGAGAAAATCCCAAGGCTCCTCTCAGTACCGCACACAGAGCGCTCCGGTTGAGCTCTCCCCGCTGCCGCAGCTCAAAGGTACGGTAAGAGGATGAAGGGGGTCTGCAGCTTAAAATAGCCGGTGATGACCAGTGTGTTTGTGCACTGCGAGATGCGCAGCAGTTCACATTCAGCATAGCTCCTCCAAAACTGCAGCAGGCTTAAATTAAGTGAAAGCAATGTGTGCAAATGTTTGTTTGTTTTTTTACACAGTTTAGATTCAGTGCTGTAAGTTTTAGGCCACTATGTTTGAATATGCTATGGATAGGAAAACACCGGTCCAAAGAGTTGTGGACTCAAATCCAAACATCAACATCTTCAGTTGTTTGCTGGTTTAACAATAACATTAACATTTTATTTTTTTTAAAAACATGACTATGCAAAAGTAAAAGAGCGTCACACCAGTTTTATGTTCTTACTGTGAAATATAACAGTTTTGTTCACTTTTCTTGCATCCCAGTCACTTTGTGCTTGTTTTATAGTTGCAAGGAGGTTTTGCTGAGAACCAGAATATCCTCACTGGAGCAGTTGGGCCTTAATTGACAGGCAGAGGCACATCCAGAGAGGGGTGTTGAGGAAGGGGTTAAGATGGATTTATGCTTTTGTTAGGGGGGTCGTTGAGGTTTCTATATCTCTGCCAGAGATCTCTCCAGAGTTGACCCGTGCCTCAGCAAAAAAAGTGACCACAGTTTAGAGCTACGGAGAAACAATGAGTAAAACACAATGTCAGAATGGGTTGCATGTGTTTACCCCCGTGTGTTGATACTGTGCTGGTAGTAACTGTTGTTAGTGAAAGACAACACTGAGGGGGTTGAAGAAAGGCCCACTAATCTTTTCTCTACAGCTTGACAAGTTTATATTGTGTGATGTTACAAAGCCATTTCCAGTACAAACACGCTAAAGTATAACTCAAGTGCTGTGCCAGAGGCAGGATTGCTGGAACACCTCAACGAAGAAGCATACAGCTGGTTTAACTCATTCCCATTCATTCTCACTCACCATCCAAATCATCCCAGCAAGACTCAGAATTTAAACTTGTAAAACTGCTGATCGCAAGCTGCTCGATCCAAGCCTGATACTAAAGCTTACTCCCAATCCTACAGTTGTTTTTCAACACTGAAAGACTTAAAGGCACCTAGTAAGAAGTAACACAACGCTGCACCGGATAAATTAGAACTACCTGTTGAACACCAGGTAGTTTGTATTTGTTTGTTATTGTGGTTTATCCATCTCACGTCTGTCTGCTCGTCATTGTACAATGAATGAATGTATGTCAGTGGCAGCTAGCAGGGAGTTTTAGAAAAGTTCAGTGGAGAATAGAGGACAACCATAATGCATCAAGTGAAATGTGACACTGTGTGGGATAAGATGGGTGGCCATTATCACACTTTGGAGATTCTGTTGTTAGTTGATGCAGTGCTCTGTTGTAGGTGGAGGTGGGCATGTGGGGCGGAGGTTTGGCCTGCAACCTGATCATGGAGTCTGTTCCCTACCTGTCAAGTGTAGTACTGCTCTTCCTAAAATGAGTCCCTGATGTTTTCTCAACCACAAACGACACATATCAACATTTTGAATGTGAAAAAGTCTCTCTACACACTCGTAACTCTTGCAGTGTTTTCTGCTTCTGCTTTGGCTGCTTGTTTCTCCAGTGTTGAGTTATTATATTAAAATATTTCATACTTGGATGTTGAACTCCCGGTTGTTTCAAACACTCACCATGCATTTGTTTTTCTATACTGGGGCACCTGGATTAGAATGAGCTCAAATGCTGTTTTTCGTGGATAAAATGATCTGTTGTCATTGTAGTTAATTGAAATTCTTTTGGTTCTTGGTAGCAGTTAAATGTTTTTTTTTTTGGAAACTGCATTGGCAAGAACTGAGAGCTTTATGAGCTGGTAATGAGTCCAAAACAAAATTGGCCTACATTAAATATGACATACATTAAGCAATCTCACCTCTTCCATATTTCAAGCATAATTTTCTTTCAAAAACTGTGATAACATGACAAATCTAAGCAAGCACCTGATTAGATACCTGTCGGTTGTCTTCGTGTAGCCTGCGGTTAAATCTGACAGAGCTGGCTGAGCCTGCGTGTGTGCGTGTGCGTGCGTGTGTGTGTGTGTGCGTGTGCGTGTGTGTGTGTGTGTGTGTGTGTGTGTGTTCTATTCACATGTTTTCACTGTAGTACAGTAGACCTCTTACACTGTTAACATTAAGCCACCATAATACAGAGGAATGGAAATGGCCTTTTCTACTCTTCTACAGTTTATTTGATATATTGTTTTATAATACCAAGTTAGAAATTAAATTAAATGTTCTATTGTGACCTACATAAAATAAATAGGTATTGCCAATGTTCAGGGTTGCTTTTATTTACAGCTTAAATTTATTACTTTTTTCCCCCATTTTCTTCAAATTAAAAAAGCATTCATGAAATCTAATTACTAATTTGCTCACACTTATGCAGGCAAGCCTCAACAGTGTTTATGTTACTGGAGGAAAGGGCACAGTTTAAGTCAGAAAGACTTGCCTGGTCAAGTAGTTGAAACTTTTTTGCCTGACGCAACTTCTCAAGATGGTGAAAACAAAATATGACAACATGCATCCAATTTTCAAGGATGTAGTAAATGTGTCTGGTATTTTATTTTCAATCTTGTCTGATGTTTATAAAGAACAGAAAGTAAAAAAAAAAAAGAAGCACAGTTTTCCATCTGTTTTCCCAAACAAGAGCATTGCACCACAACAACACCCAACATTGACTTGAAACAGCATGGCAGCAACTGTCTTGTTGACAAGTGTGAAAGTGACAGCCAAATTATCTGAGTTTCTTCCAGTAAAAGCTTGATGGTGATTCGAGCCTCATCATGGTGACTACTGCTGCTGGAGAATTTAGAAAATCTGTATTTCAGTTATTCACCGTATCATTCAGACGACAGTAACTAGTCTGTTATCTCTTGTGTATTTCATTTATTACAAAGGGGTGCATTGTATAAGTTAATGGTTGGAGTATTCAACTATAATTCAAGTAGAATTTTATTTATATCGATGTCATGTTGGAAAAATGCTTTTTTAAAGAGCTTATACAACTGCTCTTTTCATTTTCTAAGAAATGTGTTGAAGTGCTGTAATTAATTATTGGCAGAGCTGGAAAGTGTTTGCTGTGAAGGAGCTGTTGGCACGTGATGTACATGGAAGCACCAGAGGGCTA